CCGCGCAGGGCTGCAGGAGCCGAGGCAGCTGTCGCCTTCCTCGGGCAGCGCGCGGCGCTCCGCACCGCGCCGGGGGCCGGAGCCGGGGGTGGGCGCGGCCAGGGGACAGGGGCATGAGTGCCTGCGCTCCGTGTGTGTGGCTATAGATGTACCTGTGGTGTGGATGTATGTAGTGGGCGTGCGGATATCGATCCAATCAGATCCAATCGAGAGGTAGATCCACCGATCAATCGAGAGGTGGATATACACACGTATGTATCTATCTATAGACATCTATATAACGCTACAGCAGCATATATAAGTATATATAGCATATATACATATTGTGTGTATGTGTGTGCATGTGTATATATAAAGCTACAGCAGCGCCACTGTGTGTGTGTGTGTACATAGGCAGACAAGGTTCTTTGGGTAAATGAGATCTCTTTTATTAGACGAACTAAATAGTTGGAAAAATGTGTTCTTTGCAAGCTTCTGGACACAAACAGAATATGCATATACATATATATTTATAGGGTACTTAGTATATACGAGAATACTTTATATATATCATAGTATTTATTGTGAATAATGGTGGGCTAATTCAAGTTACACACATGGCAAATGGCTCTGCTGTAGTGTTTTTCATCTATATCTATGTATCTTTATCTATTTATCAATCATAGATCTGTTGGGCATCTATGAGAATAACATATAGATATCAATATCTATCTATCTATGCCCACCCCACTACCTTACACACACACACACACACACACACACACACACACACACACACACACACACAGATGGATAGATAGATAGATTTTTATGTGTGTGTGGATACAGATTGTGCCATATCTCTACCCCCATCACTCCCAGCTGTGCCTAGGGTTTGGCTGCCACAGCAAACCCTGACAGGATGCCCAGGGAGGTGTTGCCACCACATCCTTATCACTTTCCTTTTCCCATGGTTGGGCAGATGTGAGGGCCATGCATCCCACTCTGATCTCCCCCTTCTCCTTGCAGTGAAGCCCTGCGGCGACTGATGGCAGTGGTGTGGAGCCTCCCAGTGCCACAGTGCTGCCTGCTGCTGTTGCTGTCCCTGCTGGCCGTGCTACACATAGGCAAGCACTTACTGCTGCAACGGCAGCAGCAGAGATGCCGGGAGCCACCGGGCCCCTTCGCATGGCCTTTGATCGGCAATGCGGCACAGCTGGGCAGCACACCACACCTGGCCTTCACTCGCCTGGCCCAAGCCTACGGTGATATCTTCCAGCTGCGCCTGGGCGCCTGGCACGTCGTGGTTCTGAATGGTGAGCAAGCCATCCGGCAGGCACTGGTGCGCCAGGGTGCCACCTTTGCAGGGCGCCCTCCCTTTCCGTCCTTCCAGCTGGTGTCAGGCGGGCGCAGCCTGGCTTTCAGCACCTATTCTGAGCTGTGGCAGTTGCACCGGCGGGTGGCGCAGGGCATGGTGCGCTCCTTCTCCACAGGTGGTGCTGGGGCCCGCCACCGCCTCGAGCGGCACCTGCTGGCTGAGGCCCGGGCACTGCTGCGGCTACTGGCATGGGGCAGCTCAGGTGGTGCCTTTGTGGACCCAACGCGGAGCCTGGTGGTGGCAGTAGCCAACGTGATGAGTGCGCTGTGCTTCGGACGCCGCTACAGCCACAGTGACAGTGAGTTCCTGCGCCTGGTGGGGCGCAATGAGCAGTTCAGCCAAGCCGTGGGTGCTGGCAGCTTGGTGGATGTGCTGCCCTGGCTGCGCTGCTTCCCCAGCCCTGTGCGAGCTGCTTATGCCGCCTTCCGCGAGCTCAACCATGACTTCTATGGCTTTGTGCGTGCCAAGTTTGTGCAGCACCATGGCAGCCTCCGCCCAGGTGCTGCCCCCCGTGACATGATGGATGCCTTTATCCGCCTGCAGCAGGAGCAGCCCTGTCTGCCCCTTGAGCATGTGCCTGCCACAGTCACTGACATCTTCGGTGCCAGTCAGGACACACTCTCCACGGCCTTGCAGTGGCTCCTTCTCTTCCTTATCAGGTGCGTTCACTAAACACCCCTCCGACACACACATACACACCAGGGAGTCCCAACCAGGGGACGGTGACAGCTTGGGGTGCCTCAAGAACTTTTCTGGGGGGCCATGTAATACCAGCACTAGTGGATGTGTGACAGAACAGCTGACTCCATTAATAGAGTCTGCTCCGATGTATACTAATTAGCACATGTTAGAGCAGACATCCAGCACCTGCCCATCAGCCCTAGATTAAAACAGCTGTCTGTTTTTAACTTCAGGGGTGGAAGGCCAAGGATCTCCCCCTCCTCACCTTCCAGTTTTGCATCTTAGCCCCACGAGAACTGCTCTGACTAATTTTCAGTCAAGAGGGCAATTTCCTGCCTTCCCCAAGTGTCAAGTGTATGTATTGGTGTCACCCATCACAAAGCAAAGCTGGGGACCACTGCCCAACAGCTCTGCTTCTTCGAAGCCAACAAGCTGCAGCTGTTGGAAACGATCCACAGATCAAAGCCAACTCAAATAAACAACACTTATAAGCTAATAGGTCTAGCTGTCCGGAGCACTTTCCCTGACATAAAAAAGACAAGTTGGAACAAATCCTGCAACCGAAACCCAATGCAGTCCATGAACAAATTGGCCTAAGCTTAGAGTTGCAGTGATGTACATGCTCTAAACCAAAGCAAGCTGGTTATTAGCTCTTGGTTTCTAATGGAAAGTAAAGGTAAGGTAACAATCCTGTAATTGTAGGCACTGAAGTACTAGGGTTGTTGCGATTAACTAACACGGAAGCTCTGGGAAATCTGCCAAAAATAAAGATATTGGAGAAAAATCCCATTCTGCTGTAAGAGTTGCATATAGAGTGAAGCTGGCAAAAAGGCAACAAAACCAAACCTAGAAATAATAGATTTTCCCAGGTCAAGATCAAGGAGATCGTAGGATAACATCTACTTGAGCTAGATAAAAAAAAAATTGTTCTGTTTTATTAATGCTCCTATAATATGTACCTTTATTATTGTTGTGTGACTTTTGAATAGGTAGATCTGTTGGGGACCTATGAGAATAACATGTTTATGATGCAAGGTTTCCTAGAACAGATTCGACTCAGCAGAGTGCAGCAGAGGGAGGGTGGAATCTTACAGCTGGAAGAAGTTTTTAGCTCCCACTTTTTTTCCTTAATCATTTTATGCTTTCTGGGGGTATTTTATGAGATTTTCCTTAGGCTCATCTACTCCACTGCTGCTTAAAAATCAGACAAATATTTCACACCTTAAGGATAGGATATAATTTCACATATCCATACCCGGCTTGGAACTTGAAATTATATATATTTTTTACATGTAAATTCTCTCACAGAAATATGTTGGGAGGAGAAACAGAGACATGAAAAGCCAATTCTGAAGAGTTATTTTATGAAGTTATTTTATAATCTTTCTTTCGATGTGACAAGTCTATAATATAGGATAATTTTTTGCTAGTGATCCTAAAATATAGTATTAAGAAAGTTTAGTTTGATACCATTTATGGTAAGTGTTCACAAACTGATGGGTTAAAATGCTCATGAACTATTTTCTTTGGATAATATTTTAAGTTTAGGGAATTTATTTTTAGCTTAATAAACATATAGCTCTCAACAGTCTATAATAGAATTTTTTTAATATATGTTAATTTAAGCACCAGTGCTAATAGACTTAAAATCATAGAGAGAGCTAGTTGGAAGCAGAATTTTCATTCCATGTTTTAAAAATGTCATTTCTATTCAAAATGTGTCTACCTGTCTTGATAGTTTATTAATGAATTTCCTATTTCATATTCCATTAATAAATAAAGTTAACATTAAATAGAATGCATATACAGTATTATAAAAGTGGAAATGAACCAAAACAACACCATCAAAATGAAATATTTTGGCTTCTTCCCAACAAATTTTGGTCAAAATCTACCAATTCTCACAAAACATTTTGATTTGGATAAAACTGCATTTTTCAATGTTCTGTCAGTGATTTCAGACCAGCTCTAGTAGCACAGAATTATATAAAAAATTAGCTGACTGAAAGTTAATATTCTGCTTGCATAGATAGCTTATATCTACACACTTATATTTAAACAGGTATCCAAAAGTGCAAGCTAAGATGCGAGAAGAAATAGATAAGATTGTTGGTAGAGATCGCCTGCCCTCCGCTGAAGACCAGCCACACCTGCCCTACGTCATGGCTTTCCTGTATGAATCTTTGCGTTTCAGCAGCTTTGTGCCGGTCACTATTCCACATGCTACCACAGCGGACACCTGCCTAATGGGCTACCTCATTCCCAAAGATACAGTGATATTTGTTAATCAGTGGTCAGTGAATCATGACCCAGCAAAGTGGTCCAACCCAGAGGACTTTGACCCATCGAGATTCCTGGATGAGAGAGGATTTCTCAACAAAGATCTTACAAGCAGTGTGATGATTTTTTCATTAGGTAAACGTCGGTGCATTGGAGAGGAGTTATCTAAGATGCAACTCTTTCTCTTTACTTCCATACTTGTGCACCAGTGCAATTTTACTGCTAATCCAAATGAGGACCCTAAAATGGATTTCACTTATGGATTGACCATTAAACCTAAGCCTTTTACAGTTAATGTCACACTTAGGGACTCCCTAGATTTGCTAGACAGTGCTGTTCAAAGACTGCAAACAGAGAAGACAGCCAGTGAAAATCACCTCTCAGAAAATTTCTGAACTTTGAAATTTGAGTGTATAAGGATGTTCCTTCTTCTCTCTCTCTCTTTGGACATAAATTAAATAAATTATAATATACTCTGGTGGGCTTTTTGGAAGAAAGCAAGCTGGAGGCACAGAAGGCACAAGAGTAGGGAGTAGCAGTAAGCAAGTTCTTTTTATTTGTTTATATGAATTTGTGAAAGAGAGAACCAATGGACCCTTTATATGAAATGATGAAACAAGGGCAAGGACAGGATTGGAAAGTACATTGACTTGTCTGTGAATGGGCAGGAAGAAAACAGTTATTGTAGCATGCTTTTCTTACTGCCTGTTTGGAGTATCCTCACACACACAGTTTTGCACAATCCATTCTCTGTTTCTATGAAACGCTCCAAGCCCCGATTTTGCCTTCCCTGATTCTACAGCCTAAAGTGACATCTGTTGTAGAAAGAGAGGTGCCCAGAATATTAGAGCTCAATTCTACAAGGGTACACTGCGGGGAACTGGTATGTCCTGTATTATAACTACTGGGATGTATATCTGTGCTTTGATTTAAACAAAAGAACCTTCAATTTTTTTTAATTAATTTGTAGTAAGAAGTCTTACCTTTAACATTCCAAAGTGTTTACAAGTATGACAAAAAAACTAGACTCAGTTATAAGCACAATATTTTGAAATGTAATTCATATTTTGTCTGTAAACTACATATATGAACAAATGGAATGTACTGCCACATGGACTTTCATTACATCTTGAAAGAAAAAAATAGTTTATCACCAAATGGCAGATGCGCTATAGAATCCATGAACATATTCATAAAAAGAAAGAAAAGATTCAATCAAAAGAAAATAGCAATTGTTTTTAACTAGGAAAACTTACTAGTGGCCTTCCATTATGAACTTTGTTTTCTCAGTTAAAAGCTTATGCCCCATGTTTACCAACTCTTAGGCACAGGAGTGATCCTTAATCATGAGTTGTCCAGTTGAAATTTGTGTGGGTAAGGTTTTTCCTGTAATGGGCTTTTGGGTTGGAACTTCTGTGCTACAAAGATTGAATAATGTATACAGTATAGATGGTTATCCCATAGTCTTTCTATTAGCTTGAGTTAAAATTACGCATATGATGGTTCATCATGGATTGATGCACTACACTTTCAAAAAGGATGTGAAACAAAAACTAATGGGAAGCTGGGATACAAACAGATTGGGTCCATTAATTATAACTCAAAAATGTCTTTTGCTTTACTCCAGAAAACACGTTTAAAAATAATAAATAGATAAAGAGCCTTATAATATCCTTCAGTTCAGAGTTTATCTGAAAAATATTTACAGCTTTGTCCCTCTGTCCCGATGTATTCATTAGGAAATAAACGATATTCATTATAGACATGGCACAAACCTATTATTTGTAAGTCTATGACCTTGCAAAGTCCTGTGAAGTACAAACCACCCTCAGTTCCAAGTGAAATCATTGGGAGTTAAGGGCACTTGGCCTATTACTTGACTGTTGTATAGTCAGACCATCTGGTATCCAGAAAAATATGGGCCTGATCCTATAAATATTCATAACCTGTTGAAATCAATGGGGCAATTTGTCTGAATAAGGACTGTTAGCATGAATAAGGATTTGCAGGATTGATCCTTAACTTATACAGAAAGTCCATAGTATGGCAAAATTCACATTGACACTTACAGGAGAAGGATTAAGGCCTGATCCTGACCCTTTTGAAACAGATTGGAGCATTGCCATTGACTTCAAAGGGGGGCCATGTCAGGGTCTACAGCAGGTCAGCAGTGTTTTTGGGCAGAGTACCCAAAATACCAAAAACCTTGACTTGTAAGATGTTGGTGTGCCAGGGGCGGGGGAACCACAAGGGGCCTTATCCTTGTGGCAGCACAGCCCTGGCCCATTCCCCACTATCTGCCCTGAGGTGCGTGCCAAGCAAAATGCTTTCGCATGCCATGTTCTGGCACCCGTGCCGGGGGTTGCCTACACCTAAAAGAACTCTTTGCTCTCCACATGGTAATAGCAAACTCAACTCTGCTATCTCATATCTTTTTGGCTTTGCACAAGAGTGCATCTTCATGGATTTCAAAACAACAGCAACAATAAACATTAAATGGCCTTTTCAGTATAACAGGGGTATCCTCAGGTATTGTATGGATGACAAAATCTATGATATCCCAGAACTTAGCCTATACCTGTGAAATGCTTTATAACATACTCTACAGTTTCATATTCAGATCTACATTAGATCAGATGCCAGCAACACATTTTTTCTCTTCTACTTACATAAATATCTCACGTATTAAAAAATATATAAACCACAACAGAATAGCTGTGCTAACTCCCGGATCATTTTTTCTGTATTTTAACAAATAAAATAACTTTTTGTAATTTTGTATGTTACCCAAAAGCTTTAAAGTACATAAGTGGCTGCTAACATGACTTTCATTCATACAGCTGAAATTGATGTTTATGAACAGATAATATGCAATATACTTTATGGTCAAATATATGCACTGTAAAAAAGTTGAAATTCATTAACATTAATTTAGAATGTATACAGTTCTTAAGCTAATATTTGTGGACATGTTTAAGATGGATGACTGTATTACCAAATTATTAAATATAAATCATACTGCACCTGCATTCTTTATATTTGCTGGCTTTGTTCTTTCAATATTATGCATAAACTGGAAAAATTTAGTTGTTCATACACTTTTTCTGCACTCTTCAGCTACAGGCAGGCCATAGAGTTGCCTTTTCTCTGCTAGACAGTAATCTTTTCTGTCTGAACAGTTTCTTGTCCTGATGCAGCCAGGGAACATTGGCTTTAGTAGGACATCCGTAACTGTTCCTTATTTGCAGTTCTCAGCTAGCATGAAGTTATTAGATTTTTGCTAGGATTTGTAACTGCTGAGCAGGCAACTCAGGCTTCTAAACTGTACCATCATGGCCAAAAATCGGTAGTTAGAGAAGTGGGATAGAATGAAGGCTTCTATGACAAAGTACCTTCAATTCATTTCTCTCTCTTTTTTTGTCCTGTGTTCCAACTTTCTCCCCTCTCTTCTCCCCCCGACCAGACCATCTCCCAGTTGAAAATGGCAGCTTCTGAAGTAACTGCTAGATTGGGCAAAACTATGTCCAAGAAAAGACAAGTCACACCTCATCAGATTCCCTCTTTGCCCTGTCACTTCCTTCCTAAACTGTGACTTGATGTCCCTATGGCAACTTCACAAAAATATGTGCTCTTCCTGGGAACTGTATCAGGATAGAAACAGGCAGAAAGTGAATCAAATCAAAACAAATGGCAGAAGCATTTTATTCAAATCCATTTTTTAAATACAGATCTCAAGAGCCCAGTGATTTCACAGAAACCATGAAGTCAGATACTAGCACATTCATATCTTCTTATGGGAAGAGTTCTCAAGAAAAGGAACATTCTCATACTCCCCACCTCTCCCCCAGAATCATAAGGCTGGAAGTGATCTTCAGGACCATCAAGTCCAACCCTCTGCACAGATGCAGGATTTACAAATTAACCCAGTCTGGAAAACTTCAGGCGCAGACTATGGCACCACTTACTGAGGTAGCTTTTATAGTTACAAAGTTTTTCCTGCAAATGGATCTGTATCTGCTTTGCCTGATATCCTCCCCTCTATGGCAATGAAGAACAATTTTTCTCCATGGCAGCCTTCCAAAG